ATATATATATATATATATATATTGTTAAATATAACAGACAATAAATAAGCCGTTCTAAACTTTGTATGGTTGCTTTAATTTTCGGGTGAAAATTAGTTATGTGCCATGTGTGATAAACGCTTAGGCGATCATGTATCTTTCGATACATGACTGACGAGGCAATTTTTTCCCGCAGAAGGTTGCCATTTCTTTCTGCGGTAGACCAGTTGCCATCCAAGTCTATAGAACCTGTCCTGTCCTACTATTTACCCATAGCTGGCGGGAGAAGAAGAAGATTCATACCTTTCCCAAGAGTATTACCACGCAAGTGAATGTAATGGATTCGACTGGAATAAAGACAAAAATTGTCCAACATTTGGATGTTTTTTTTATTAAGCCGTTCCTTTGATCTAAGCTTTCGGCTCACATTTTCATTGTTGTTATACGGACATTTAAACAAAAATATTCACCATCAAAGATGATATTCTGTCATGTTGGAATAGAAAATTGGTATGCGACGAAATTAAAGCAACCATACTAAGTTTAGAACGGCTCATGATCAAACATAATAGACATTCATTGTCTTTTATATTTAACAATATATGTTTAAATAATGATCAGCTGCTCCAGTACACTATATATATATATATATATATAGAGAGAGAGAGAGAGAGATAGAGAGACAGAGGGGAGGGAGAGAGAGTATAGTATAGATCCGTTGATATATAAACCAGTTAGATCCTCGTAATATCAAATATTAAAACTGATCCACAGAGAGTTCAATGTATTTATTATGACAGAGCATATACATATTTTACAGCAAAAATCCAAAATAGTATAGTCTATTTCAGATCGGCACAATTTAATGCCGATCCTCATCAGCCCTCGAATGCCTGTCTGGAATTGGGGTTTTAAATTTTTTTAGATAGCAGTCCTACTCAAAAAGACGCCTTGTTTTTTATAAGGGGCTTGTGTTCGTGACGAGGGGAGGGCGTAAAATATTTCTTTCAGGTGAAGTGGGCTGGAGTTGGAGTTTATTTATGACCAGGGCCTTTCATTGCATGTAACTGGATTTCGGTTCCTACTATGGAATACTACACTATGCACACAACAATTACGTTTTACTGGGATTTACAATAAGTAGCATTTAGACAATAAGGGTTTAATATTAATAAGTGATGAGGGATTTAAATATAAAAAAATAAAAGTTAAAATAAATTAGTTGAGTGACAGATTCATAAATTTTGTTAGAAATACCGAGACACCCAATGAAATAAATCATGTTGTACAATATTCATGCCACACAAGTGTACGTTTACATACACATGAATATATGTACCCATACACACACTTATATACTCACACATACGTACACATGTATTTATATACACATATAAAGTGATACAAATATTTTGTAAGAAAAATAGCTGATCAAACATTCAATTATCTCTCAAATAATTTCGCGTAACTATGTCTTAAATTACCTGTTTGTTTAATAACAATATGGCCATGCTTTATAGTTTTGAATACAATCCATATAGCATATTTGATTCATCATCATTAGAAGAAGAAGAAGAAGATGATGATGATGATGATGATGATGATGAAGTGGTAAATGGACGCTGTCGTCATTTTTCATCTCTATACCGTCTTTATTTCACCTTTCTATTTTTACATCTCTTTTTGTTTTTGACTTTCTACTCTTACTCTTTCTCGTCCTTCATTTCCTTTGATTTGTTTTACTCTCCTTCTTTCTTTCTTTCTGTTTGTCTTTCTTTCTTGCTTTCTTTGTCTTTGTCGTTTATATTTTTATTATTTATTCTGTCTTTTTCACTTTAATCGTCTTCTTTCTCTCCTTTTGCCCACCCTACTTACTCTCCTTTCGCTTCACTCTCTTGTTCTACTCTTAATATTCTAATTTAACACTCCATGCTCTTATTTACTTTAAACTTTCCCTTTCATCTATTTCTTTCCTTTATTCCTGTTATTTTGCTCCATTTCTTACATACCTAACGTACACAGATAGAATAATAATAATAATAATAATAATAATAATAATAATAATAATAATAATAATTAATAAAGACCACAAACAAAAACGGTGCCTCCATGTTGATATGGCAGTCCCTGCTGACTGCAATGTATCTTTGAAGATATTCAAAAATAAAAATCTGCAACTTCTACGGGAAGAAAACTGAAAGAAACTGGTATGAACACCACCCAGACCCGGTTACGGAGATAGGACCTGTTACAATTCTATGGGATTACACAATACACACTGACAGAACAATAAAGGCCAACCGGCCAGATATTGTTATTAAAGACCACAAACAAAAAACGGTGTCTCCTTATTGATATGGCAGTCCCTGCTGACTGCAATGTATCTTTGAAGATATTCAAAAATAAAAATCTGCAACTTCTACGGGAAGAAAACTGAAAGAAACTGGTATGAACACCACCCAGACCCGGTTACGGAGATAGGACCTGTTACAATTCTATGGGATTACACAATACACACTGACAGAACAATAAAGGCCAACCGGCCAGATATTGTTATTAAAGACCACAAACAAAAACGGTGTCTCCTTATTGATATGGCAGTCCCTGCTGACTGCAATGTATCTTTGAAGATATTCAAAAATAAAAATCTGCAACTTCTACGGGAAGAAAACTGAAAGAAACTGGTATGAACACCACCCAGACCCGGTTACGGAGATGGGACCTGTTACAATTCTATGGGATTACACAATACACACTGACAGAACAATAAAGGCCAACCGGCCAGATATTGTTATTAAAGACCACAAACAAAAACGGTGTCTCCTTATTGATATGGCAGTCCCTGCTGACTGCAATGTATCTTTGAAGATATTCAAAAATAAAAATCTGCAACTTCTACGGGAAGAAAACTGAAAGAAACTGGTATGAACACCACCCAGACCCGGTTACGGAGATAGGACCTGTTACAATTCTATGGGATTACACAATACACACTGACAGAACAATAAAGGCCAACCGGCCAGATATTGTTATTAAAGACCACAAACAAAAACGGTGTCTTCTTATTGATATGGCAGTCCCTGCTGACTGCAATGTATCTTTGAAGATATTCAAAAATAAAAATCTGCAACTTCTACGGAAGAAAACTGAAAAGAAACTGGTATGAACACCACCCAGACCCGGTTATGGAGATGGGACCTGTTACAATTCTATGGGATTACACAATACACACTGACAGAACAATAAAGGCCAACCGGCCAGATATTGTTATTAAAGACCACAAACAAAAAACGGTGCCTCCTTATTGATATGGCAGTCCCTGCTGACTGCAATGTATCTTTGAAGATATTCAAAATAAAAATCTGCAACTTTACGGGAAGAAAACTGAAAGAAACTGGTATGAAACCACCCAGACCCGGTTATGGAGATGGGACCTGTTACAATTCTATGGGATTACACAATACACACTGACAGAACAATAAAGGCCAACCGGCCAGATATTGTTATTAAAGACCACAAACAAAAACGGTGTCTCCTTATTGATATGGCAGTCCCTGCTGACTGCAATGTATCTTTGAAGATATTCAAAATAAAAATCTGCAACTTCTACGGGAAGAAAACTGAAAGAAACTGGTATGAACACCACCCAGACCCAGTTACGGAGATAGGACCTGTTACAATTCTATGGGATTACACAATACACACTGACAGAACAATAAAGGCCAACCGGCCAGATATTGTTATTAAAGACCACAAACAAAAAACGGTGTCTCCTTATTGATATGGCAGTCCCTGCTGACTGCAATGTATCTTTGAAGATATTCAAAATAAAAATCTGCAACTTCTACGGGAAGAAAACTGAAAGAAACTGGTATGAACACCACCCAGACCCGGTTACGGAGATAGGACCTGTTACAATTCTATGGGATTACACAATACACACTGACAGAACAATAAAGGCCAACCGGCCAGATATTGTTATTAAAGGCCACAAACAAAAACGGTGCCTCCTTATTGATATGGCAGCCCCTGCTGACTGCAATGTATCTTTGAAGAGATTCAAAAAGTTGTCAAAGTACAAGGACCTTAAAATAGAAATCTCGAAAATTTGACATATGGGAACATCAACAATCCCTGTTGTAGTTGGAGCCCTAGGACTGGTTGGAAAAGATTGCAGTAGACTAATTGAAGGGATTCCTGGAAGTCCATGCCTCAAGGAGATACAAAAAATTGCTCTGACAAGTACAGCCCACACCTTACGAAGGGCTTTATCTATGTAATTTTTTTTTTTTTTTGTCAGTGGAATATGTCATGACGCCATTTCTAACCTTAGGTCCCTGGGCGGGACCCGGAAAGAAATGTGTAAACGCCAGAAATCAAAGAAAATAATAATAATAATAATAATAATAATAATAATAATAATAATAATAATAATCTTTCATCATCCTTAAATTACACAAAATCAGGTCAATACTAATTCATTTTCAAAGGTTGTTTGTATTAAATGTCAAAAAACATTACAATTGCTATAGAGAAATAGAGAACAATATTATTTCATAATTTCCACAAGGGGGTGGGGAAATAATTTGGGACTGCACCAATTTTTAGAAAAACTAAAAATATGACTAGAAAAATCTATAACTATGAATTCGAAAATGAATCTATAAGTAGATCGAAAATTCTAAAAATGCGACGAATTATTCAAAACTAATTACGGAACCAACTATTGTAAATTCAGTAAGTACTTGCAAATATTCGCGTTTCCTTAGAAAAGATGTAAATATTCAGTCGGGATGAATAATTCTGTTCACAACACTCTCTCTCTCTCTCTCTCTCTCTCTCTCTCTCTCTCTCTCTCTCTCTCTCTCTCTCTTTATATATATATATATATATATATGTATGTGTGTGTGTGCGTGTGTGTGCGTGTGTGTGTGTGTGCGTGTGTGTGTGTGTGTGTGTATTCAAGTCCTCTGAAGATCGCATGAGCGTGAAACTCGGATAACATCTAAGGCTATCCTTACATAAGAATTAAATTGTCAAATGTTTTTTGCTCTTTCTAGGACCATATATATATATATATATATATATATATATATAATAGCTGGCCACTCGTATTCGAGGATACCCGTCTATTTATATATATATATATATATATATATATATATATATATATATATACACACACACACACATTTACATTTTTTAAGCATTTCACCCCAAGCAAGGCGGGAAGACACTAGGACGCAAAGGGTTACAGAAAATTTACAGCAAAATCAGATAGGAGTGATAGAGGAAAGGATGAGGAGAAGGGTAGTGGATAGATCAAGGCAACTGGAGATGTCGACTGACATTACATTTGAATAGCTGGAGATTATAGCTCTCAGGGAAACAGGAATAGGGAAGGGAGTTTTACAGGCAAGAGGTGCGAGACATGAAGCTATTGGAGTAGAAGAGACGGCTACATTTAGGAGTTTCGACAGTGAAGGGGTGAGAGCGGGATGCCAGCCTCGTAGGGCGCTTGAACTCATGAAGTCTGGGAACCAGCGAATGCAGCTCCTCGGAGCAATTGCCATGAAAGTATTTGTAGAACAGGCAGAGGATTTAAATACTAATATTTATACATATTTATTTATTTTAATTTTCTACAATTTATTTGCAGTTTCCTTCGTATTTAGTAGTTTTCATTTTACTAGTATTACCAGGTTGTTTTATATTTTTTCTTAGACTATTTTTCCTTTCGTTATTGTTATTTTAAAGGCAACCAGAGTTGTATTTTCTTTGTACATTTTTTTTTTATTTTTCATATAAACCTCCAAGGAATACAAGAAATTCAAACAGACGTCTTCAAATAAAGCGTCGACGATTCGCATTCGCTGTTGGGTCAATGCTTGCTGTTTTGACAAAGAAAAACAGAAAAACGTGAGAATGTCTTTGATGGAATTCAATTGCATTTAAGCAAATTTAAGTAAAAAAAATACATAAAATAAAGACGGCAATGATAAATATAATAAACAAGATTCCTTTTTATTTTATTCTATTTGGATTTACTTTGTTTAGCAAAATTCTATCAACTGCAAAATGGAAATGTATGAACTGCATTAAAGAATGTACAATAAAAATATAACTTACTTAAACACTAATTATCAGTGAGACTTTCTAACTTTCTACAAACGTTTCTAGTTAATAACGGGTTATAAATATCAGGTCATCCCATAAGTTCTGTCCGAATTTTAACTTTTTGTTATAATGAACGAAATTTAAAGAGTATTTTATAATGTCTAATGGAAATGAATATTATTTTTATGTTTAGATGCATTTAAACTGATCAAATTTTATTTCAGAGAACAATAAAATAAAATTTTGTTTGATTAAAAGCCTGCTAACATGGAAGTACCCAAAAATCATTTGAGGCACATAATGCTTTATGAGTTCAAGAAAGGAAACTCAGCAGCCGAAGCGGCTAGAAACATTCACTCAGTTTATGGAGAGGAATGAGTGAATGAAAGAACTTGTCGAAGATGGTTTGCAAAATTTAGAGGTGGAAATTTCACCCTTGAAGATGAAGATCGAACCGGATGTCCAGTTGAGTTTGATGAAAAGCTTCTTGAAGCAGCCCTTGAAGAAAATCCTGCTTTATCAGTTGAGGAATTGGCAGTGGTTCTCAGTTCAAACCATACAACTGTTCATTGTCATCTTCAACAACTTGGAAAAGTTCCTAAACTTGGAAAATGGGTGCCTCATGAATTGTCTGAAAAAAAAACCCTCAAATCCCGAGTTGACATCTGCTCTTCTCTCCATTCTCGCCAACTTGTTTCACCTTTTTTGGATAGACTTGTGAC